CCTTCCAACAGAGCCGTGAGCAGGTTCCCACCTCCCCCTGCCACCACGAAACGTCCCGCTGAGCGTGGAGAACGAGGAGGAGAGAGAAGAAAGCCTCCCCGAAGGTGGCCAAACCAAAAACCAAACAGAATCCAAACGGCTCATGTTTTAGTGGTTGACTTTAATTCTGCACTGCACTTTTACTACAAGGATATAAAGAATAAATAGGAGATACTCTTCATTTACATAGGATTAAGTCATTCAAACCGTTCTCTCTATTTACAATAACATTGTGCTCTAGGCGTTTATTCATTTTTATTTTAAATCTAAAGTCCGTAAGGAAAAAGAAAAGAACTCACACACACGCTTTCCGAATAATGGAAAATAGCTTTAAAACGTTTTCTTATCAAAAAGTTTGGTTTGTATTTTTTAATCCTTTTATTAAAAAAAAAAAACACAAACAAAAACAAACAACAAAACAACAAAAAACCTACTTCGCCAAAGCGAAGCAACTTCTCTCCGGAATATAAATACTAAAAAAAAAAAAAAAAAAAAAAAAAAAGATACATTAGCAACGATCAGGGTAATAGTCTTAAAAATACAGTAGACGCTGATTATTTCACGTATAATACTGACCTTTTAATAGTATATTAAAACGGTGCCATATATACACACAATATACATTCTCCTACACGTTACAGTGCATTACAACGTTAACCAGAAAGCAAATGTCTTTTATTTTTGTTGCAGCAAAGGTCCACGTGAGTCCGCTGGAGAAGGGGGGAGCCAAGGTAAGGGCAAGCCCTAGCAGGAGCACTTGCACTCCGAAATGATGGGGTACTGGATGGGTATCCACGTGCACCTCTGGCCCCCCCGACGCTGGCACCTCCACCTCAGGATCGTTAAATGCACGGACTTGGCAGGTTTGCAAACCATGCCTTCTGGGACTGAACAAGACCTTTTACTGTAGCAGCTGCCCACTTTGACATACCGGGGCCAAAAGCGGCTGCCGAGATCGTTCCACGTGTATAGGACCGGGCAGAAGGTCTGGGACCAGAGCCACATCTGCAGCTTCCTGCGCAGCTTCTTGCTCAGCCTGTGCTTCTTGCCCG